TCTGCGAAAAGTGATGGGATTGTTTCTCTCGATTGTTTCAGACACCGCGATGGACTTTCAATTCGGCGAGGGTCGCGAGTGCGTCAACTGCGGGGCTATATCGACGCCGCTTTGGAGGAGAGACGGCACCGGGCATTATCTGTGCAACGCGTGCGGACTCTATCACAAGATGAACGGAATGAACAGACCCCTGATAAAGCCCTCGAAACGGCTGGTAAGTCGTCGCTGATGGAAACCAATCGCGCGCTATCGTATTCCCTCCTACCTACCACCCTGTGTTTGAAAATTGATCTGATTCCGCGACAGATCTCGGATTGACGAAACGTTGAAATAATTGAAATAATTAATCTCGCTGTGTGTGGATCGTGTGTGCTTCGCTCTCAGACTGGTGGAATATCTTTACGTGATAATACGATGCGCGTGTGAGCACGCGTAGAACACGCAACAGCGAGTAAACGCAGCACTTTACACGAGTGTCGCGCATGTGTGTAGGCGTTAATGAATAATATACTCCATCCGTTTATATCAGATCGTGTATCAGCGTGGTAACCAACCGCGTCAAACACACGTGAACGTGCCAAGCAGTTTTCATTCCTCTGTTTTCAGCGCACATCCCTCCTACTGGCTGCTCCACTCGATATGTAGAGTGCTTTGAAAGCTTGCTTGGAGAGTTTCTCTTGCGTTGTCGTCTTTAGTTGCTAGGTCATTCTGGTTCCTTCTTCGTGCATTTACCTCTTCATGCTCTCATCGGCAATTTCCAATTCTCGAAAGTAAGAAAACGTCTGTAGTTGGGCCCTTTTCTTGCCAAAAGTCCTACGATCTGCATGACAAAAATCTATCCGGCTGTCCTTCTCTTTCGTCATCTTCGAGTCTTTCTTTTGTCTTTCTTGTCCTATTCGCGCGCTGTCTAACCAACATTCGAACGAGAATTTTATTATTTGAATAATCACGAATGTTCGAACAGATTTTGCTTCTTTCCATATAAAGCGCCAAAATTTCAAACGAGCATCGTGAAATGAAGTACACGTATCAAACTGGATTGATTTATTACAACTAGCATCTAATTGTAAGAAAACTAGCTTAGTGTACTTGTTAAAAATTTTCATATTTTTTTTTAGTTGATATAAATATATTTTTCTAATAGATTGTTTTAATATTCTCTCAGATAATAATAATATAGGTTTTATATATATATATTACATTGAACTGATGAAAAAATATGTGCGGTCCTCGACAAATTTTTGTTGGGCAATGAGGCCCAAGAGATGTAAAAAAATTGGACACCCGTGGTTTAAACTATCAGAAAACTACGGCATGACTTGGACAATCGCGTGCTTCTTCCGTAGATCGTTCTGTGAGTTTCAATCTACGCATTTGCAAGCAAAATTCGACACGTTGTCGCGAGATATCGACCTTAGCACTATTATTTTCGTAAGATGTACGAATTCGATTCCAAGTTCGTATTTTAATACGTACTTTTAGATACATTTAGATACTGTTGCCTGCACGATAGTTTACGACAGTTGTTATTTCTTCGGAAAAGATCTCCTCACATCCGAAATTAACTAATTTCGACTTGGCTGATGGAGAATCTGAGGGAGGAAAATTCTTTGAATTCTCTACACAATTGCGAGAGATGCGAAATAATATAGAAAATATCTCTAATTTGACAAGTTAACATTTATCAGCGAACATAGTGCACTTGTTAATTATTTTATTAATTAGTACGAACGATTGTCGATTTAAATGTCGTACGATAGGCGAGCACACGCACCGACCATGAGAAAAACATGCGGCCGTCAAAGTGTTAATTGCGGCCCGTTGCTCCGTACCCCTAATCGCGACAGTGAATAAAATTAAACAGTTTGTGACTGAGAGACTCGAGTGAAATTATTAACAATTTGTAACTGAGTAACAGCAAATAAAATCAAGTAATTTGTAACTGAGTAATTCGAATAAATTGAACAATTTGTAGCTTTGTAAGAACAGTATGAAACAAAGTACCAAAAAACAGACGAACATCGAAGAAACAGAATAATTCTAGGAGAATTTAAACAATAACAAGGAAAATTTAAATCGTATCGCGTTTTTA